GACAGAGGGGAGTGGATACACGTACGGCGTCCTGCGGTGCCTGGCACGCAGGAGGTGTTATATAAGCCTTTGCTCTTGTTATTATTTTTTGCTGGGAGGCTCCTGGCATTTGGCAGCCCAGTCTGCAGTGCAGTAGGAGTGTGTCGAGCGCTTGCCAGGGGCCAGGCATCTGGTAAACCCTGGACCTGCCCCATCTCATTTAAACGTCACAGCCTTTGGAGAGGTGGGTACTATTATCAGGCCTGTTTTTAGAACAGTTTTTTGGCTGTCAGATTCCTGTGAGCAAAAAACTGGTTTGAGGTCCCTCTGCTCTAGGAATTCATCAGTGGGGGGTCAATGGGGGGGACTTCATAGATTAGTTGGCCAAGGGCCTGGGGCATCCTTGGGAGCAGCTGCTGATTTTGTGTTTTGAGAATGAGGAATGCTTTTTCCCACCCTTTCCCTTTGGGGGCCAGGTTGTGCTTTCTCTGCGAGAGCCTAGGTTGTAGGGGCCAGAGACACTCAGTTCCCACCATTATAGAGCTGAGGATCAAGGCAACCTACCTCCCTAATGCTAGCATCTCCTGTTTTGTAGCACAAGTGCTGTGCAGAGCCCTGGGCAGAGACAACCTTACTCTGGCCTTGGGTCTCTAGCGTGGCCTGGTCAGGCCTGTTCTCTGCCCTGGGCAGTCAGGTGCCTGGCCAGGACCCTGGAGCCTCCGAGTCAGTCCAGTACCAGCGACAACACATCTGCTCCACTGCCTTTAAGACTTACCTGCTATAGGGCGAAGGCTGGGAGTGGAGACCTAGAGAAGGAGGTGGCTCAGTCTTTGGTGCAGGGGAGGGTCATAATTTAGGAATGAATTTCTTCAATCCCTGCTCTCCCTTTTGTCACTGAGAGTTGTCTGGTGGCTGCAGAGGACACAAAGGAGGTGAGAGGGGAGCAACCTGGCCAAACAGTGACACCCAGGCCTCCCTTTCCGGAGCACTGTCTCCGAACCAGCATGGAGTGCAGCTCTTTACACACTCATGTCCTGCTTTATCTACATAGGTACTCCACGGAAGGTAATATACCCACCCATTTTACCAAAGTAAACTGAAGCCCACAGAAGTGGGGTTATTGCTCGCGGTGGAACAGGGGTGAGCTGGGTATAAGATCCTAGGTCTCTGGGGAAGGGTTGGGACCGAGAGCCTAGCTTGTAATTTCAGCCCCCAATGCAAATCCTAAGCCTTGCCTGGAGGACTCCTTGCCTGGCCCCAAGTTCAGGTTCCCCAAACGCCATAGTTAAGTGACTTGCACATGGTTTCAGTTTGGAAGCAACAGAAAGTGGATTTGAACCTGAGCCCATCTGACTGCCCCTAAAGAGGTCTGGGAAAAATAGTTAACAGGTTGAGGGTTCTGATGGTGGTCTAGGTGGCCTGGTGTGGGAGCATTGTGGACTGAGCTGTGCCCAAAGGACTTGGGGAAATGTCTTAGATTGGGGGACATCCATCCTGTGGATCACTAGGCTAGGAAGGCTCTAGTCTTGCAGAGAGGAGGGACCAGTCTATTCAAAAGCTGGGAGACGAGAAAGAGAAGGATAGGGTACAGCATGAGGGGGGCCCGAGAGGCCAGGGATGCGCCTCAAGAATAGGAGTAATAGCGGATGCGAGTTCAGTGCTTACGGTGTGCAAAGCACCAGTCCAAGGCTTTGGCACAAGTGGACTAGCTGGATCCTTCCATCTACCTGAGAAGGCTGGTCACGTTAACCACAGACCCATTTAGTGGGGTTGACCACTGGGGCTAGCTGGGAACCCCAGCCAGCATTTGCTTGGGCAGAAGAGTTGACAAAACACATTCACATCTCAGTTGCCCAAGGCCTGGTGATCTTACTAAGGAGAAATGTGGGTATCAGAAATGAAAGCTGGAGACACCGCTGGGTGCCAGGCCCTGTGCTAAGGGTGTGCTGGCCAATTTGATCAGCTCCCCAGCCTCTTGGAGGCCTTGACTTTGTTAGTGGCGTTTTCCTACTAAGCAAACAGGCCCAGAGAAGGAAGGTGACTTAAGGTTTCACAGCTAAGAATCGTGGACTTTGAAGTAGGAAAGAGAAGGGAGACTTTAGATGGAGTTTAGAAGCCATATAAACACCTAGAGAATGTTTCTTCCTCCCCTGAAGTCCTGTCCAAACCTCCCTGGGACTTTTTTGTCCTTGTCTCTGAGAAATTTATTTGTCCAATTATCTTTTTCATTTCTTGGACAACCGTTTATTGAGCACCTGCTGTGTGTAGGACCTATGCCGAGTGCTGGAGACATGCGGTGACCAAGATGGAGGTAACAATTTATAGGGAGAGACAGACACTAAGTATCCAGTAACTGGAGCAAGATAATGACAGGTGGGGACAAGGGCTCTGAGGGAAGGAAAGTGGGGCAGGGAGGGGTGGGGAGGTCCAGGAAGGCCTCTCCTGGGAGATGGCATCTGAGCAGCTGCCTGAGCGAGGTGAGGTGTGAGCGGGGAAGAGCCTTGGTTTGTTGAGCGCTCACTCCTCACCAGGTGTTACTGTGCTTTATGTGCCTTTCTCCTCACAATAACCCTGTGATATGGGTACTGTTTATCATCCCCTTCTCTAATTGGGATACTGAGGCATAGAAAGGCAAAGTCACTGGCACAACCGCTGGTGAATGACTGCTATGAGATTTGAATTAATGCATTACATTTGAACCTGAGAAGCCTTCACCTCCTGCCTCCCCCCATGGCCCTAAACCTCTCATTTGCTGTTTTCCTGCCCCCTCCTTTAGTCCTTTCTCACCCTGGCTGACCTCCTAGGTGACTTGTGGTGGAGTCCCAGTGGCCCCAGCTGGCCACTGCCCCTCACTGGGGGTTTTCAACCTTGCATTGGCTGTGGCCATGTGCAGGGGAGTGAGGGAGGCCAGGGTGGGCTGGGGAAATCAGGGGAAGCTTCTGGGGCTCCAGCCTTTTGGAGTTTTGAACCCTTCCCAGGTATCCTCCTAGGCTAAGAGGTAGAAGTCCCATTTCAAAGAGAGGGGACCTGAGGCTTTGAGAGAGGATGTCACCTGCCTACAAAGCAGAAAAGTTGGAATTCAAACCCAGCTCTGTTTGAGCCCCAGGCTGAGCCACTTTCCTGTCTGCCAGTCACTGCCCTGTGGGGGAGCAGATGGGCAAACTGTAATTTTAATATTCTTTGAGGGGTAAGATAGGGGTGGAGCTCCAAGCTTTGTTTCTTACTTGCTGGGTGATCTCAGGTGAGATGGTTGGTCAATTTGGGCCTGGGCTTCCTCACCTGTGAAGAAAGAGCATCCAGCTTCCACTCAACATCCTCAGCCGGCATTAAGGGAGCATCTACACAAGCCCAAGATGATCCCTGTGCCCCTGGAGCTGACATTCTGATGGGAAGACAGGCATCAAACAACGAGCGCACTGGCAAGCTAACTTCAGACTGTGATAAAGGCCTTGGGGAGGTGGTAGAGGGTGACTGGGAAGGGTTTTCAGAGAGTATTTCAGGCAGAAGGAGCAGCAGGTGTAGAGGCCCTGAGACAGGACAGAGCTCAGTGTATTCGGGAAGGAGCGTGGAGTAGGTGTGGATAGTATAGAGGCAGCCAGGGGCGGAGTAGGGGGGAGGACCGAGTGGTTGCAGGGTCCTTCATGCAG